AGCACAAAGGGAGGGTGTTTGTCTTGCACACAGTCGACCCGGGTTCGATTTCCAGCATTCCATATGGTCCCCTGAGCACCGCCTGGAGTAATTCCTGAGTGCATGAGCCAGGAGTAGCCCCTGTGCATCACCGGGTGTGACCCAAAAACAAAACAAAAATTTAAAAAAAAAGTAGTTTGAAATAGATCAGAACTATAAAATTTGCTTTAATAAAATCTCTTTTAGTTATTTTTAACTACAAAAGGTATCAAGCCTACAATAAATACATTTTATTATATTTTCTTAATGAGGTACCTGATTTTTAAAATCCAATCAAGTTCAAAATATGAAAATTAATCAAACTGATTTAATGAAAGTGAAATTAGGCCACCCAGTGGTTAATATGATGTACTGCACCCACTAATAGCTTTCTTCATCTACACTGAATTAGCATCACTAGTAAAATTAATTTGACTTTTTTTAACCATTATTAATAGCAACTGAAATAAATGCTGAAGGAAGTTCTACCTATCTATAACAAAAATGATTTTTATTTCATTAGTGTATGTTTATTTTAAAATAAGAAAAAGATTATGAAAGGGTTGAAAATCAGATTTATATTAAAAATTGTAATCATCTTATAGACAATAAAATCCTAACCCCTTATATCAATAGGTGAAAAACTGGAATACTTATATTACCTGCTTTATTAAAATAATAATGCTTGTTAATTCATGGATGATTAAAAAATCTTTTTTCATATGTCAGTAATCTATAATAATTTCCATATTGGAGTAACATAGTAAAACTGTTTCCTTCACATATCCCATTGAAAAATATCTACCAATTCAAGAGTTAGCTAGTTTTTATCTTTTCAGTTTAGTCACAGATCATCTCACCTGTAAACACCTGACTGACTCTGTTGTTACTTAACTAGACTTCTAGTTCCTAAGTAATATCTTTATTTTATTCTCTTTTTTTTTGGTGAAATAAGAAATTTTTATTGAAACTTATTTTCAATAAGGTTTTTGTATTTATAAAGGAAGAAATGTGTGTTCAAAAGAGAACATGGGCTTCTCCAGAGTAGAAACAGGCAAGCAAAGAAACACAGAGACAAGGAAGCGAGATGCATAATTCAAGGAACAGCAGCTTGAACAGCAAGCCCAAAGTAACATTTTGTAGTACTTATTTTTAAGAGTAGAACTGTGCAGAATTGACTTTTATTTAGGCTTGGATTTGAATTTTTTGATTCTGGGACTCACACATGAACTCTACCACTGACTTATCTTTAAGAAGAAATTACTTTTGAAATATAAATACAGGGGCTGGAGCGATAGTACAGTGGATAGGGTGTTTGCCTTGCACACGACTAACCCAGGTTTGATTCCCAGCATCCCATATGGTTCCCCAGCACCGCCAGGAGTAATTCCTGAGTGCAAAGCCAGGAGTAACCTCTGTACATTGCTGGGTGTGACCCAAAAAGCAAAAAAAAAAAAAAAAAAAAAAAATCTAAATACATTAATGACAGAGCACATGCCTTGCTGGGTGAGGCCCTGAGTTTGAGACTCAGCACTGAAGGGGAAGAAACCCTAAACACAAATTAATAACGGAACGGACACACCAATTTTAGCACCGCCTTAATTTACTGCCGTAAATTATGTCAGTGAAAGCCCCAGTGGGATCTAAAACTATTTAAAATCACAACATTAAATGAACCTTTTCCTTTATGTAAATCTAGATGTGACATTAACAAATGAGATAACATCTTCATTTGTTTCATACAGAGTTAAGTTTTTAACCTTTTTTTCCCCATATAATACAGAAAAAGAATCCAGTTAGAGAATTAATCCCTATAGTCTTATGAAAAACTTTTAAGTAGCAAAGTTTAAGCTTCAAATATTTAAATACACAAACTAAAAAAATTAAATGCTGTATAGTCAATATATCTTTTGGAGGGGGAGGGTAGGTTTTGGGTCACACCTGGCAATGTGCAGGGGTCACTTCTGGTGGTGAACAGAACCAGGGTGGACTGCATACAAAGCAAGCAGTACTTAACCTGTATTATCTCTCTGTGTCCTAAAGTAGAGACCTTAAAGTGACTACGGCATTTTTCTTCCAACTATAAATTAAGTTCTTATTTCTTAAGATATTTAACCAAAAGGATGAAATTAGACTTTGTCCAACAAAACAGATTATTTCCATTTAAAAATATTTCATATTTTATCTAAGTTAAATCATATGGACATAAAATTTAGAGCAGGAAATAAACTCCAGCATGAAGACCCTAAGAAACACACCCACCATCCAGACATGATTCTCAGTACATCATCAAATTGTGCAATATTTTGATACATGAGTAGCTCCACACCACATTTATTTACTCCAGACTTAGAACTCTTAAATCATTTGTTTGAATTAGTCAGCAAAGACTGGGCCTATAGTTTTAACTATGCTTAAATTCAAAGTTCAGTTTCATCAAGCTACACGATTTCATAATTACTTCTCTTAGCCTGTTATTATTATGCATGCACAAAAATTTTTAACACTTTTTTGGGGGGAGGTTTTGGGGGGGCACCCCCAATGGTGGTGGCCAGGGCTTATTCCTGGCTCTTTGCTCAGGGATCACTCCTGGTGAGCTTGGGGGACCACATGGAATGCTGGAAATCAAACCCAGGTCAGCCATGATCAAGACAAGCACTTTACCCACATCACTGGCCCACATATTTTTTAATGAACAGAAAGAAAACCAGTTAGAGAAGGCAGGGATCTGACATTTAAGCATTCACGTAGGACCCTAACTAAATGCTGATGACAGCATTAATCAAGAAACTATTGAAATGCGGGCTGGAGAAATGGAATGGCGGTAATGTTTTTGCCTTGCCTTGCATGTGGATAACCAGAATTCAACCCACAACACCCATATGGTCCCCTGAGCAATGCTAGGAGTGATTCCTGAGCATAGAGCCAGGAGTATCCCTGAACACAGCATATGATGGCCTGATAACAAAAACATTATTTAATTCAGAAAAAAAAGCTTCTGCAGATATGATTAACACCAATATTGATAAGCAAATAATGCCATACAATAAGCAAAACAAATTTGTTACTGAAGTAACACTGACTTGTCACCTGGCATATTTAAAAAAAATTGTAGTTAATTCCAAAGAATAGGCCTAAGTCAATAATTTAGCAATTATAATTATAGAAGGTTTTATTATGTTTTTTCTAAACCCATTCTGACCATCAAAAGCAGTGATCCTGGCTGGGAGATTTTGACCCTAAGAGTCATTTGCTAATATCAGAAGTCATTTCTGATTGTCACACCTGGGGGCAGTGGAGTGTTGCTAGCAGTTACCACAAAGAAGCTAGGGAGGGTGCTAAACACCCTACCAAGCACAGGACAACTTGATTATTTGACCCAAAATACCAATAGTGTCAAGATTAAAAACATCATTCAAGGGGCAGAGTAAGCACAGCCCTTAAAGTGCTGCCTGGATGGGGTTGAGTGGGTTTCCGTGCACTGCATATGGTGCCCTGAGCCCTGCCAGGAGTGATCCCAGAGAGCAGAGCCAGGAGTAAGCCCTAACCACTGGCAGGAATGCCCACTCTCCTAAAACAAAACAAAGCAACAAAGCAGTCTCAATTCTAGGCAGTGTGTGTGTGTGTGTGTGTGTGTGTGTGTGTACACAACTGTGCCACCTCAAAAGTTTGACCTATATTATTGACTAAAAATAAGCCCAGAGGAACTTGACTATTAATATGGAATTATTTTATGCCAGTGTCTAAAGCAAACAAACAAAACCTTACACACTGGTGATGCTGAAACTAAACATTATGTGTAGTTTTGACAAGCCTGACATGTCTGCAATGAATGAATTTCAACTTCCAGTTAAGACTTTGATAGGCAGAGATTAATAGAGGGATTAAGATCTTGCCTTGGATGTGGACAACCCCAGTTCAATCCGGGCACTGCCCAATGTGGCCCTGAGCACAGCCCTGTGTGACCAAAAAAACCAAACCAAAGCAAACAAAAGGCTCTGAGGCTGTGGGTCGAGATCAATACAATAATCTGGAAACCCTACCAAACAGATATTTTAGGTAACAGTTAATATTGACAAATGAACGCCATATGCGAGTCAGGGGCAGCTACTTTAGTGACCTCCAAATAAGAATCAGACGTAGGCATGAATCCGCTTACATCTTCAGGAACCAATCCCACGGGAACGCCCGCCCTCAGTGCCCAACTTAGATACAGCGCCAAACACAAACGCTCAAAAGTGAATCAAATACATTGTTTTTATTTTAGGATCAAACTCCTGGCAGGTTGTGACAGTGTAACAGCTTCCCCTGAAGAGACTAAAGGGAGAAAAATGAGTATCTGGACCTGCCACAAAGCTGTTGCGTCAAGAACAGCCAACAGAGAAAAATTGCCAAAGGTCCTCTCCCGTCTCTGCCATTCCTCACAGGGTTTCCCAAACCTTTCGGGGCCGCGATGATGGCAGAGGGGGGATCCCCGCCCAGGCACATCCGAGTTCCTCCTGTCACCGGGACGGTCACTGAGGGGGGGAGAAAGAGCAAAACGGAAAAGTCCCTCTCAACTCTTTCCAATCGGTCCAGGCAGGACACGATCGTTTTCATCTGCGTGGCCTGTCCCCACCCCACCCCCACCCCCAAGCTCCCGTCCACCCCGCGAGTGGCCCTGGCAAGAAACCTTCAGTCCAGAAGCGGCTGTGAGAAGTCAAAGCGTCTAGACCGGCGGGGGAGTCCAGTCAAAATGAGCAACCTGGGTCGCAGTTACTCACTTTCTGCGTCGGAAACACACGGGTCCCCTCCCCGACTCTCCGCACCGTCGCGACCGCCGCTCCGGCCTGTGTGACCGACGCGGCTGCGGAGCTGAGGGCAGGGGAAAGCCCCGGCCGGACCCGGGAGAGGGGCCTGGTTGGGAGAAGCAGCCGCGACAGACGGAGAATCGGAGCCCAGGCGGACCCAGGGGCGCAGGGCGAAAGGAATGTCACACCCACCTGCGCGACCTCTTCGCCATCCTTCAAGAACCGCATAGGCAGGCTGGGCGGGGATGCAGCGCAGCCTCCTCCCGCCTCAGGCGAATGCTGCTTCTCCCCCCCGCGACCCTCCCCGTCACTCGACCCGCTCCCTCGCTCAGGCGAGACCCGAGCGCGGAACGCACGTCCCGGCCCCGGGCAGCACGGAGGGATGGACCGGCGGACGGCGACCCGCCCCCCGCGCCCCGATGCGCGGCACGGCTCCTCGTCCCGGCCCAGGCCAGGTCAAAAATGCCCCAACATGTCAGGGAGCGCGCTCCCGCCCTCCGCGAGTCCCTCCCGCCTCCGTTCAGCCTCCGCGCAGCGGTCCCAGCACGGCTCTCCCCGCGGCCGCCCGCCCCCGCCCTCTCCCCGCAGCGAGCAGCTGTGCAGCGCTCGCAGCCTCCTGCAGGGTTTTGTCCGCACCGCCGAATCTCGCGCCCAGCCTCCCTCGAGAGCCGCCGTTTGAATCTGCGCACGCGGCCCCCAACCTCATTGGCTGTCGCGGCCGCTCGCGGGGGGGACGGGGGCGGGGCGGGGAGAGCGCGCGCGACGAGGGGCGGGGCTGGGGAGCTGGAAGACTCGACTGGAACTCGCGGGAGTCGGGGAAGGAGCCGGGAAGCTGGTGGGTGGGGCCCGCGGGCGAGGTTCCCCGGGCTGGCCGTGACCCGGGACGGCGCTGAGCGCCGCACCACGCGGGGCCGGGGGTGGGGGAGGGGGGGGGGACGACGCCGAGGACCGCGCGGGGCGTGCCGGGAAAACGAGTTCTAGCGCTCGCGGCGTGAAGGGCCCGGAAGTGGCGCGTGGAGAGGGTCCCGAGGGGTTGAGAGGTCCCTACGCCTGTCCCTGCCTCCTGCTCTCCGCCACGGCTCTCCACGCCGCGGACGTCTTCCCGCCTCGCCGGGTAGGAGGCGCCGTCTTCGAATTGACACAAATCTAACCATAACATTTGCGCGGCCGTTATTATTTCAGGGGGAAAAAAGTTGTTTTGTTCTGTTTGCCCATACTTTGTAGCTACTGTACGGCAGAGACTGACAGGAAACTGACAAGAATGACCAGGGGATATTCTTGTGACAGGTATTAAAATAATAACGAAAGTCTTTAGCTAGCGACGTATTTGGAACATAAAAGGGAAATAATTCAGTACTGCGGTCGGTTTTCAGAGTTTATTCTGCTCTACTAGAAACGTGCGTGGAAGCTTGATCCGAGAGAGCAGCGCAGAAAAACTGGGACAGACTAGTATATCGCCCAGAAAAATGAGCACAAAGTAGTTTCCTCGGGAGATTGGGGAAGAGGTGTGGCGGGGGCTGGGGGGTTGGGGGGAAGAGGGGACAGCGGGATGCACAGTAACCATTCTAGAGGTTTCAAATATGATAGCTCCAAACTGCTCAGTTCAGCTTGCATTAAAGTAGATGAATGGTACAAGATCCAAATTTGCAAGGTAATATGCTCTACTGCATAGAGCATTGAAGCACTCATTAAATCGTAACAAATCTACATTTTGCTATTTTTAAGTTTTACGCATCAATTTTTGCAAATCAGAAGTTGCAGGTGCATATATAAATTAAGAGCTTGCAGATAATACCTTCAAAGCAGGCTTTTTTATACTTCCTTTTTCTCAAGGCATGGGTTCTGGGAAGATGAAACAACTTTTAAGCCATTTCTTAGTATCTGGCTAGTTACTTTTAAAAACATTATTATTATTATTACTAAATTATAAAGTAATGGTTTTTGACACTTAAAATTACTCCTGTGTTATAATTACTATGCTTATTTATATTCTAACAGGAATCAGAGCCTCTGCTATATTTTAAGCTATAAACAGTTTTATATTATATAGACTGCCTTTTTAGAACTTGAAGGAAAGTTTTTTCGATTTTGACAGTAAACTAAATCCTCATGTTACTGGTAGATATATAAGCATAATCCCTCAGAAAGATAACATTCCAATTCATTTGTTTAAGTTATTAAGAACAAAATACACAAAGTACTTTGGTAATTTGACTACACATAAAGAGTTGGATGGAGTTTTAAGCAAAATATTTAATGAGAATTTTTATTCAGCCATATAAAGAACTCTCAAAAGTTAATAATGAGAAAAAATAATAAAAACGGTCAAAAGAATAGACAACCAAAAAAAGGTAAATAAGCCATATGAAAAGGGGTTCCACATCATTAACCATTGAGAAATGCAAATTAAAAAACACTAAAATAATACTTCACATATATTATAATGAGAAGAAAAAAATGATTGCATATATGTTGGTAGAGATGAAGACGCTGAACGAACAACTTAAACTTTCATACATCCCTGGGAGGAATGTAAATGGAAAAGCCATTTCAGAAAATAAGTGCTTATAATTGCTTTATTTGTAACAACTAAAAACTAAAAACTCTTAAAAACTGAAAACTAAAAAATATTCTTTTTTGTTCAGTTGGTTTTTTGGTTTGGGGGCCACACCTGGAGGTTCTTAGGGCACATTACTCCTGGTTCTGCACTCAGAAACAACTCCAGACCCTTAATTGATCCACTGGGAGTGGAGCTGGAGGACATCGGATAACGGAAAAAAGTAAATATTTTTTAATATTTAATATTGTCACATATTTCCCTCATAACCTTTACAATTTAGTTTTAATAAACTGTTAAAGCTCCTCAGATTTTTACACTATAAGGGAACTGAATTCTGAGGAATACTGGTTTTTTTTTTTGTCGGTTTTTTGGTTTTAAGCCACTAAATCTGTTAGAGCAATGGGAATGTATAATGCACCTTCTCAAAAAATGTTAACACTTTTGGTAGTGTTTTTTTTCTTCAAAAAAGTGATCCCTTATACAGCTCAGAATTCCACACTTAAAAAAATATTGCAAATGAGCCTATTGAGGGTTTAAACTGAAAACTAGGAATACAAGGTCATAAGAGTAATAAGGGTGTTAAAAAAGAGAAAAACAAATAGCAAAAAAAAGCAGAATTATTACTCATCTGTGGGAAACATAACATCTTCCAAGATATATGTGCTTTTTTCCCTTAAACTATAAACTTTTCACCAATTTTATCATCTTCCACTTTGTCAAAGACAATCTCTTTTTTTTTTTCTCATTCACTCCTATTCAGTCATATCCTGTATCTTGCAGTGTTTACTTCAATTTTCTTTTGAGGGGGCACATACCCAGTGTTTTTGGGACTATTCCCAGATCTTGGACATTGAGCCCAGGGGTGCTTGGGGGACTATGTGGTGCTAGGGATTGAGCCTGGGCTTCTGGTGCACAAAGTATATACACCAGCCCATTGAACTCTATATTTTCTGGCCCTAAGTTTTAACACCTTTTCTGAACTGAATCACTTTCTATCTGGGAACTTTAAACATCCCATTTCAACATATGAAAACGATGGTCACATCCATCAACATTTATATGCAATTCCAAACTGTAATGCCATCCAGTCTCACAAATAAGAACCTGAATGTTGGTTGACCATTTTACTTTTTTCCGTTATCCGATGTCCTCCAGCCCCACTCCCAGTGGATCAATTCAAGCTCTCATCTCACTCAGGAACAACAGACTATAATCTTGATTTGACCAGAGAGCAAACAAACATTTGGTCGAACATTTGGGTGGTGTATATGAGGGCGTGTCAGGATGAGTTAACATTTGGATGGGTATACTGGGTAAAACAGATTGTCTTCTCTGAAATAGATGGGCCTCATTCAATCAACCGGTTGAAAAAGAACAGAGATTCCTGCCTGACTGCTTTTGATGGGAAGTACAACGGAGTACAGGGGATAAGATGCTTACTATGTGCGCATGTAGTCAAGTCTGGTTCAAATTTTGGCATTCCAGATAATCCCCCAGCCACTTCCAGGAGCTAGGGGTAGCCCCTGAAAACCTTTATGTGTAACCCCAAAACAAAACAAAAAAGTTATTCTGGGATGTGATCCCCAGTGATCACTACAACAGATGTAAAAGTGCTGAGATCAGGAAGGTCAATCCCTGGCAAGCAAGTATATAAGCATCACAGTTACTTCTAGTAAGCACCACAACTGTAACCTGCATGTCTCTAGTAAGTGCAACTCTGGCGAGGATGAGTGCAAGCACTACAACTGAAGGAGAACTTGGTGAGCACTTTGGCCCGTTGTGTGAGCACCAAAACGTGATTATCTCTCCCATGAATATCACAGCCAGTTGTGTATGTGTCCATCACTGTCATTGCAAACAGCAATACCAACAAAGGCAGAGATTTTAAAAATACTAAAATCAGACTTAAAATTTTAATTTTCATAGCTCATACCTTTTACCATATAAAAAGAATCTATTAAAGTAGGAAAGGGTCATCAGTAGATGGATACTTTTGGTGCTTGAGCTCCATATTGAGTAAATCTACAACCACTATGGTAGTGTATCAATATTGACCTTCAACTGTAAGACATTATTTTTGCAATGAAGTTAGGTTTTGAAATTCAGAAGTTTAAAAAAAGTCCTGGGGCTGGAGTGATAGCACAGCAGGTAAGGCGTTTGCCTTGTACGCAGCCAACCCAGGTTCGAATCCCAACATCCCATATGGTCCCCTGCGCACCGCCAGGAGTAATTCCTGAGTACAGAGCCAGGAATGGCCCCTGTGCATCGCTGAGTGTGACCCAAAAAGCAATCAATCAATCAATAAATCAATAAATAAAACGTCCTTCATGGAAATTTAAATCCAGTAAGGACAGCGACAATCTCAGCTGACATGCATTATGGATCACGAAGAAGCAAGACAACAAACAGGAGAAAAATACTAGGATTTTTCCCCCTAAGGATGAAATACATATGAGCAGATAAAAGTTTTCATTGGCAAAACAAGACAGTTGACAAAGGTTACAGGGCATAAATGGATATCCCTTCATATATGACATGTGATCAGGTAACGGCCAGATACGAGATTTGATTTTACCTTATGTTTACACTATTTACACTAAGTTAATTTGTAACTGTTTCATAAAGGCTGGCACAGATACCAAAAGCTAAACTCAGAAATGAAGGATTATTACTACAGTGGCACAGTAAGCATCACGAATATTGGAATATTTTTATCATTTTCTCTTGCCCCATAATTCCAATAGTCCAGTAATGTGATGGGCTCATGTGGATGTCAGGTGCACTTAGTGGATCTGTACTGCAACAAAGACTCACTGAACAAAGGGAATCCCTCTGCTTTTAGTAGGCCGATCTGCTCTTTGGGGCAAAGGAGATGGTACCTCATCTTTCAAAGTTATGAGCTGAAAAAAAAAAAAGCAAACAAAGAAAAAAAAGACTCTTTGAAATGGCCTATACCCATGTCATTTATCCCATCTTCTTTCTGCCTCAGTGAGAGCTAAATGACATAGTGAATAGATCAGATGTTGAACAAAGGTTATAATAAAACGAAGGCCTTCTCACAGATCACAAAGCAAGTTAGTTACAAGACAATTATTAGTGTTTAGACTTTCAGTGTTGAGTGTAATCATCAAGCTTTTGCAAATTTGAACAGTTTTTTAACTTACTTATCACATCTTATAAAGTATGCTTTATTTATTCTTTCAGTTTTGCGGTCACACCTAGTAGTGCATACAACCAGTGTTTAACTATACCTTACAAACAAAGCATGTTATATTATTTTGGTTTGGGGCCACACCCAGCAGTGCTAGAACTTTCTCCTGGCTTTGTGCTCAGGTATCATACCTGGCAATGCTCAAGGGATTATATATGATGCCAGGGATCAAACCTGGGTCCACCATATGCATGATAAGTGCTCCCGCTGTCCTATCCCTGTGGCCCAAATCGGTCCCAATAAAGCATGTTTTAACATAGATACAAAGTGTGATCTAATCTATCCCATTTAAATGGTAACAAAACTCTACTAATTATTTTAAAATATAAATGACAGTAATAGCAGACAGTGGAGTGCTATTTGTCAGGCACTGCTTTATATGTTAACTCATTTAATCCCCACCACCACCAAGAACTGTAAGTCAGTATCTTCCTCTCTGGAAACTGAAACATTAAAGATCAGTGGTGTGCCAACTCAGTTACAGAGTCTAGTGTCTAATGCTATATACTAATTGCTCAGTTAAGTCAGTCAACAAAATGGATATATTAGCCATATTCATTAACCATATATTGTATATACAGTTTAAAACATATTGATTGCTAAATTATACAAATGTAATTAGTTGTTTCCTGTATTTCTCATTTCCTCATAATCAGTATTTTTTGAAACACCAGCATATAATAAAGAACCAAATTCTTTACTAGAATGTGTTTATCTTTTAAACAGTAGGTATTACATGATGCAATTATGTAGCGTATCTAAAGAAAACTTACTTACTCTTTTCTGATTAGCTTAATTTCACCTAACATTGGATATAACTGGCTCTATTGTATTGTAAAAAAAAAAAAATACAGCATTTAAAGAAATTTGAAATAAAAAATTTCACTAGAAATTCCTTTATAAAACCAAACTATATTTTCATGCATTATAATATTTAGATATAATTCAGAAATCAAAGAATAAAAAAATGTTTAAAAAGCTAACATGGAGAAGTTGAGGGGAAAATCAATATGCATTAACTTAGTTTTATTTTTGATATAAAAAAATTTCAAATACTGTACAGTAAGGTGTGCTGTGAAACACTATATACTGTTATAATACACTATTACCAATTATTACTCAAAAATATATACAGTAATCACAAAATCAGAAAATAAAGGGTACCAGCCAGTGCCTTAGGAATGACGTAACATCCATACTATATTTTATTGAGCAGTTCAAGCACTTGCTACTTAAATTTTTTCTAAATATTTACACTATTACTTTTTTCTTTAATATATTCTAAGTAGCATTTCCCTCCAAAAAAGTAGACTGCCAGTTCTTGGTCTAATTCTTAAAATCAAATAAACCTGAAAATATCAGTAAACTTTTCAGTCTCTTATTGCTCCACCACAGGCTTAAAGGCTCAGGGACTTGTGCATTCTAAATAAAAATGCAGTATCTTAAAGTTTAAAATACTAAGAAATTGATACTCACAAGCAGATAGCATCAACTAGAACTTTTTTTTTACTATTTTCCTTTTCTTGTACAAGAGAATAATCATTGTAATAATATTATACTACAAAAGCATGTAGACTCCATAATTTTTAAAAATGTCAGATATACAATGGCATTTTCTCCAATAATTCACAATTTTTACAATTTCTATTTTGGAACACATTAAAATTTTCACGATTTTAGTATCATTTAATATTGAAACACTTAGCATCTCAAAGAATTAAGAATGGCAGAACTTACAATTAACTCTAAGTCTTAACATTGGTGCTATAGCTTCCCTGTTATTTCTTAGGTAAACATTCTACTATGGTATGTTTTCAAGTGAACAGTTCTGGTTTTAAAATTTATTGTATAGATTGTGAAGAAACTTTTGGCTGTAGTTCTGTCAAATTATGTAACTTGAAATGTGTTATGTCTACCCAACTTAGAGTATATATTGCACTGTTATAAAAGATCATCTAAAATTTATAATAAATGAGTGAAGTTTAATCCAACTTTGCAAAGGTTTTTATGAACATCCTAACATGAAAACTTACTGCGAGAACCATGAAACTCTCAAAATCTGCTCTCAGTATTTTGTCAATTAAAATGACTGTTGAAAAATGAAGACAAAAATTATATTGATATTCTGAAACATTTTGTAACATTGTCTCTTATATTGGTCAATTCTATCTATGACAAAAGTCAAGTTTTATACCTAGAGGTTAGTTGTTAGTGAGGTCTAAATTTAAGTGAAATATTCACTAGCAGCCGGTATTAGAAGGTAACTACATAAAATAAAATAATACTGTTATAAATTTTGTATTTACTAACATGTGATGTTAGTACAATTTCAAAAACCTGTCATTAAATATATGAGTTACTAGCAAATGATCTTCCCTGAGGTAAGAGACCATATGTAAAAACTGACTTATTTTCAATGAAGTTATTTAAATATGGCAATATGGACTTGTGGCTAGCAATAACAAAATGCATTTTAGATTGATATCTTAAATGCAAGCAATAGGCTTGATTGTAAAAACCAAATGAAATACCACTATTATCACTAGAAAAAAATAATGCAGTTTCACAGTCAAAAGCATTTGCTGAGTATCTCATTTCCAAATAAAAGACCTGAAACAAAATGAAAACGTACAAAAGGGGCAGAAGGAATGATTTTAGGCTTGCTCTTATTTTTTTTTTTTGTTTTACTTTTTTTTGGTTTTTGGGTCACACCTGGCAGTGCTCAGGCATCACTGTTGATGGGGCTAGGAGACAATATACAGTGCTGGGGAATTAAACCTAGGTTGGCTACATGCAAGGCAAGCACCTTACCCTCTGTACTATCTCTCTGACCCCTAGGTGTACTCTTTAACTAGGTCCTGAATAACCAGTCCCTTCAAATTAGTTATATTTTGGTTCATAGTATTTGGCAGTGTCTTATTTTCAACAATTCCAACCAGTTTTACTTTGCTTGTATTACAGATATACACCATCTTAAGTCTACCCAGTGTTGGGTCATCAACTCAAACTTGGTAAGATTAATTTTAAAATAGATTAGTAAAAAAAGTTTATAATTTTTATTCAATTTTCAAGTACTGTAAATATAACTGAATAATAAAACTGAATTATGTTATTGCTAAGACTAAAAAAAAATTTTAACTGATAACTAGTTTGGATTCAAAGTTGTTATAACCACAAGTGATAGTACCAAAAATAATTATCCTATAGTCAGGTATTTGATTCTGATAAGTGGAAGGACAGAGAACAGTATTTAACAACTTAAATTTTATTCTAAAGCTTCTTTCTGAAGATATTACCTGGTCCACTTCTCATAAACCACTAGTTACCCTAGCCAAATTTCAGCTGATCTTAAATAATTTTAATTTAAAACTATTTCCCAGAGTCAATCCTTTAATTCCTCATCAAAGGAGAACCCAAACTGCTATTGTAAAATTTATATCTAACTGGCTTCTTAGAGGCATTGCTGTGGCAAGAGAAGTTATACTGTCAAAGTTTAAGTCCATCGTTTAAATGTTCTAGGTGCATTATAATTTGACTAAATGCAAATACTTAACATCATAGGAAAATAACTTGTTTCTGATATTTTTGTTTTATGCGGTGCGTATATTTATCAATTATTAACCAAACATACCAAGCCACAGGTGAAGAAAATATTTGTTTAAAAAAGGTGATCATATCATTTATCTGGAAGCAAAGCATTGCATTCATTTATGAAAGTTCTCCTTCATTTAAGCTTAAAAAAATAAAAGTGGCTGAAAAAGCCAAGAATAATTTAGTGGTTAGTGATATTTTTAATTTTTAGTTAACACACAGAAACTACCTATGCTAATTTAAATGGGAAGTATTATTTGGCAGCTGCAGTTCTAAGGTACAATATAGAAGTTCTAAAATTTCCTATTTTTTTAATATAAAGATACCTGAAAGTAAATTTAGAAGAATGGAGATAAAATATGGCTTAAAATGTGATGTGATAAAACTAACCCAACTACATATCTTGCTCAATATCACTTGCAAAGTGTCTAGATTCTCTAGTCTTTCCTTATTCAAAATGTACTAGTTATTTTAATAAATGTTACAGTTACAGATATTTTCATAGAAAGAAAATAGAAATCGCCCTTCCTTAGAAATACAAGTGTAACAGTACTTTTCATACTCCTTCTGAATCAACAGGTTGCAATTTATAAACACCTAATAAAAACATACTTTCTGATGTACATTTTCGTAGAATGCAAATACAGTTCTGCATCTGCTACAGGTTCTGCAACTATTACATGTGCAATCAGAGACAGCCAGGCTTTGAGTGCTATACATAAGAGATTGTATTAACATACATTTTATCTTTCATCCATTCAAATTCAACTTAATTTTAGTGAACAGAGGGAAAAGGTGGACTGAACTGTACATTTGAAATTACAAATTTTCAGAATACGATAAAATAGTGCAATACCAATCTCAGGATAAATATTCTTCATCTTTAAGGAAAAAGAACAAAAGCTGCTTCTTGAGTAAACTGGCATTAAAAATGGGATGAATACACTATTTAAGCAAATGCCCAGCTGATCAGGGTATGTGCAGTAAAATTTGCATCAAAATTCAAGTGATCCCAACAATTAAGGAAAATCTTATGGAATAAGGAGAAAAAGGAAACAGTTTTGGTTCAAAGGGGCCCAAAGACACTTAGCATATACAAGCTTAAATACCACTGATCAAGTTATAGAACAATGTAACTTATTCAAAAAAGATAAATTTTTATATATAAATTCTTTCTGAATCTGACAAGCTTTGGAAATTAGAGATTAACTATTGCTACCATTATCTTTTAATTTTCTATCACATTTTGCAATTTTTCTGCAAGATTAAAGAAAATAATTCCTTGGTTCAAGACCAGACCAGGATTAAAAAAAATAATGGTAACATATATCAACAACAGAGCACACAACTGGCTTTGTTGGCGTAGAGAGCAACATAACTAAATCACATTGACGTTATCACTGTAGTAGATATATTTCCTCTAATCTTGCTCAAATCAACAAAGTATTTTATCATTGCACTCTGTTCTCAAGCTTTTTCACCAAGAAAACATATTTCTATACATGTGTCTACTATCATGAAAAAGTAAGGATCCTAGTGTCTGATAACTCATTTTAAAAAAAATTTAGGTCCAATTTAGTTCCGATAACCTTCAAGTTGAAAAATCATTTAACATTTTAGTAAATATGTGGGATGGTTACATTGATGACATCAACATTAGCAAAAATCTCGTTTCTCCCCCAGCTCTAGCCTTTTCAATAAATCAAACATATTTAGCAAGAAAATTTTCATATTTGAAACATTAAGACTTTCAGAGAACTAAAATTACAAAGAACTTCCAATGAACTATATATATATGGAAGAAATTTCACTTTAGCAAACCTAGTAACTAATTGGTAAGACTTCAGAGCCAGCCCGGGCAGCAGTATATTAAAAAAGCTATTGCCAATCACACACTTGCTATCATGCACTGAATAACAAGATATAATCTTTGAATTATATACGGTACAAGATTTTTAATGACTAATCAAGTATGTGGCCCAGCCAACAAATATTACATATTCACAATAAACACTCTGCCTTTATTAGCCTCAAATTTAATCAAGAGTGATCCATTGGCTCAGTTGTGTTTGTCATCTCAGCGTCTTGACTATCCATCTCTTCGGGTTCCTCCACAGAATTTCCCTTTTGTGCTTTTGATCTTGTGGCGAATGCTGATCCTAGTGCTGCTGCCACACAGCTATCAGTTGTTTCTGTATTCAAATTTTCAGTGCCACCAGTTAAAGAGAAAGATTCAGGCAAACCAGGCTGAAGACTTCCAGACTTCACAGAAGAGCTGACATCTACTTTCCTTTGAGGAAGATCAGATGGTGCCTGTTCTGTACTTTGATCCCGCATGTGCTTGTCCATTGAAGCCTGAATAGAAGAAACCATTTCCTGCAACTTTTTTCGCTGGGCCTCAATTAGATCAGGATCAAGCTGCCTACTGTCTCTCATTGTAACTACTCCAGGAGCTATTCGAATAAGCTCACTGTTACTAGGAGCAGAGGTGTATGCAGGAGGCTCTGTTTTAATAGAACTACTAAAGTCAGTCCCTGTGTTATGCTTTCTCACAACTGTAGTTTCCCTAGCTCTTGGATCAAGGTGGGGGCTACTGGATGCAGTTCCTAGAGAATGCCCCTTTCCCTGAAAGGCAGTTACATTATGAAATTGCTCAGATTTCTTTTTCACTACTCCACCACTCCCTAGTTTCAACAGCCCATGTGAGGGACTTGACTCCCTACTTCTTGTAGTAGCCTCTGCTCGAACCTGACTTAAAGCCTCCTTCACTAAATCTTCAACATCAGGACCGATGGGAAAATGTCCTGCAGCATCCACACACAACTCCAGTCTATCTTCAGATGCATTATAGACAAATGTTTTGCCAGGTAGATGTGGAAAAGTACAGTGCTTGCCATCAACCATACCTAAAGAAGGGAAACAGATATTTAACATAAAAATCATACTTTAAAAGTAAAATCAATTATTGTTGAAAGTGATTTTTAAACTTTTAAAAGCAAATTTACAAAAGAATTCATTATATTTATTAACAAAATTTAATATTATTGTAAAAAAGAAACACCACCATAGGCTTGAAAGTGTTCTTCAAGGAATGTTTCTAAAACTAGACCATTAACCTATTACAAAGTTAGGAGAATGGCTTGAAGCAAACTACTAGCTATGAGGAAAACAATGTATAACAGAAAGAAAATATACTATCACTTACTAAATTTTAAGTATAAACTTGCAAAAATACTCATGAGGGCACAAACTTGTTGCAGACTGCTGAATTAAAAATTAAGTGATTCCCATAAATTAAACAGTAAAAGGTAAGGTAAAGGTAAAGGCCCTCCCATTGATCGTCGATTTGCTCGAGCGGAGCAAATTAAACAGTAACAAAATAAAATTAAACAGTAACAAAATAAAATAAATTAAACAGTAACAAAATAAAAGTTTTCTGTTTTATAGATAATTTTTCAAAATAAAGTACTTTACAGTTAAAGTAGTGATTATGGGGACACATTTAGGAAAGCTAAGATTAATGCATGTGCTATCAGTATAAGTGAGAACTCATACTTGGTTATTCCTCTCTGCTAAGTCAGTAGTACCAAAAGAAGCCAGGCTTTATATGCTCTTCAAAAGTCCCATTGTAATTTACTTCTTACCATCAACTAATAAAGCAGTAGTCAAGAAAAACGTTAAAATAGGCTTCTCTTTGTTTCTTTGTTTTCCAGTTAAAGAGAATGAATTATATACATACAAGATTTTTAATGATCTCACAGAATGATCTCTTTCATTTGTGGGAAATAAAGAAATATAGGCGGGGCATAACATGCCCCAAAGCAACAGAAACTTAAAACCTATCTTCAGTAAAAAGTTTATCATGGTGGGGGTCGGAGGTGAGAGTGGGACAGAATTTTATTGGATGACATTGGGACAACAGTGAAGGGAAGGAGACACTCTGATAGAGGGTGAGGTGTTGCAATGTTAAGTATGAAATTCTACCATTAACAGTATTTAAACGATGGTCACTGTCACTGTCCTCCCGTTCGTTGTTCATCAATTTACTCGAGCGGGTCCAGTAACGTCTCCATAGTGAGACTTGTTACTGTGTTTGGCATATTGAATATGTCACAAGTAGCTTGCCAGGCTTTACCATGCGGGCAAGATACTCTCAGTAGCTTGCTGGGCTCTCTGAGAGGGGCTGAAGAATCGAACCCATTCAGCCGGGCCGGCTGCGTACAAGGCAAATGCCCTACCCACTGTGCTAAACGATGGTAATACCCTAAAAATTTCCCTCTTTTAAAAATCTGAGTATAAAAAAATATATGTAAACCATCCAATATCCTTATATTTTAAAGTTGTCACTGTAAGCATACTTAAGGTACATGTAACAACAGTGGTCCTCAACTTTTATGAAACGAGACTGTCTCTAGTAAAAGAAAAATAAATAATATATGGTATATATGGGTGTCTTTATAACAAAATATAAAGGCTAAAGCAAATTAATTACAAATTCAGTAAGTGTCATAGAAATTAAGAGAGGGAGAGAATGAATAATATGTGGGCTACCAGGAAAAATATACAAGCAGACCATTATGATGAAATAAATATATCTATGAGTATACTACTCATTTCATTATTTGAGGGAAAAAAATGAGAAAACATGCAAAGAATGTACCACAGGACTAATATAAATAAAAAAGTCAATAGTTTTAATTCCTCTATTAGAGCAAAAGAGTTTATCAAAGTTCCTATGTTGCTATTGTAATGCTTTCCCTTCACTATATCTGGAAAGAATCATATCACAGTATGATTTTAATGAAACACTGAAACAATCTAAACTTTCAACAACTATGGTTAAAAAAATAATGGTTTTATATACATGATGAAAGATATACAGCTATTAATAATGATATAAATAAGAAACTTATGCCTCAGATATACTGTAAAATGTGCATCATAATAAAATAGTTGGAAGCAAATCTAAGCATATAATTATTATCACACCAAAAACATTTATTGTTATTTTTTAATTTTAACTATTTTTCCTCCCCCACCCCCCAGTTGTGGGGCCACACCTGGCAATGCTCAGGGTTACTCCTGGCTCTGCACTCAAAAATCACTTCTGCCTGTTCTGGACCGACCATGTGGGATGGCAGGGATCGAACTGGGTGGGCTGCATGCAAAGCAAACACCCTACCCACTGTACTATCACTCTGGCCTGATGTTTCCAATTTTGATATTTTCTAAACTTTTTACAGTATTAAACAATGTATGGGCTGGGAATGTGACTTAATAGTAGTGCACATGCCTTGTGTGTAGTAAGGGTCTGGGTTCAATCCTTCACCCCCTAACCAACACTTTTAAAAATATTTTTTTTTAAAAAATAGTATTTAAAAGAATGCAAACAATTGAATTGGTTCGTTTAAGTTATATCAGGTTATATATAACAAATATATTGTCTCTTAAATAAAAATAATCAGATATATTAAAACTTCTATGTCACGTATAAACAATTTCATTACATACACATATCAAAAGACATGCATGTAAATATTTATAGTGACATTTTTCTTACATCAAAAAATGGGAAACTAGCCAAAGTGAGTAAGGAGAACAAAGGATGAATTGTGTTAATACTATGCAGCAATAAAAATTAAGCAACTATAGTTGAATTCATCAAATATGAATGAATCTGAAAGTGCTACATAAGTCACAGAGAAAGTATAGCATATAATGCCATTTTATAATATGTCTAAACAAAACTGAATAGTACTACATACTTCGACAAGAGTTAAACTAGATTGATTATTCATCTCTCCACTTATCTCCAGAAGTAACTGCAGGGAAACATTACATTTTAAACCAATGAATTTTTTAAAATCTGCAAATACAGGAATACAATAATCTAGGTTTAGTGATACTGAGTACTATTCCATAAAAATGTACATATAAATCTATCTGTTGGAGCGATCGCACAGCAGGTAGGGCATTTGCCTTGCACGCGGCCGACCCGGGTTCGATTCCTCCGTCCCGGGTTCGATTCCTCCATCCCTCTCGGAGAGCCTGGCAAGCTACCGAGAGTATCCCACCCGCAAGGCAGAGCCTGGCAAGTTCCCCATGGCATATTCGATATGCCAAAAACAGTAACAACAAGTCTCACAATGGAGATGTTACTGGTGCCCGCTCAAGCAAATAGATGAACAGGAGGACAGTGCTACAGTGCTGATAAATTTCAGCAAATTAAAAGATGAAAGTTCTTTTGCAATTTGGATAAGATACAAGTCTACGGTTAGGGTTAAGAAAAGTTTGATATGCTTTGATTCTTTGACCACAGGACAGTAAAGTTAACATGTCTTAAAATAATCTTTACCACAGTATTTATTCTAAGAAATTGGATTTTGAAGGATAAAACCTTTTTTATTTAAATGAATTAACTTCAAATAGCTATGTTATAGTAAAAAAAGTTTTAGGGTTGATCCTCAGCACTATAAGTTTCCCCAGGCACTACCAGGAGATACTTTCAGCAAAGATATTGGAGTAATAGCCTTCAAGGACTGCTGGTTGTGACTCCCTTACTAACAAGAAAAAATTATTTTTAATTCTTCAAATTATAGCTGGAAAAGTAAAAGCAGTAAATACTACCTTAGTAGTTATTATACAAATAGAAAAATTTACTCTTTTATGTACACCATCTTATTTGATCTTCACAAAAAGGCTGAGGCTATCAAATCCACTTAAACAAACAAGTCACATGTCATAGAACTAAATTTTGACCTCAGATATTCTCTTTTTGGCTGGGGGAAACTCCTAAAGGTGCTTGTGAAACCACAAGTGGTGGTAGAGATTGATGCTGGGTGAGCCGTACGCAAGGCAGGTGCCTTATCACAAGTTCTCTTTCTCTCTTTCCCTTTCCCTTTCTCTTGCTCTCCCTCTCTCCTCTTTCTCTCTCTCTCTCTCTCTCTCTCATCTAAAATGTTCTAAATGGTTCTGCTGAAATGTGATTGCTATGCACCTCACCCATTTTAAGTGTACAACTGAATTTTTATGTATTTTCAATTGTGTAATCATTACCACAATCACCCCTGAAAGAAATCTTGGTACATTAGCAGTCACAGCTATTTCTTTTTCCTCCTCTCAGTCCTATACAACTTCTGATTTATTCTCTTTTTCTAGGTGTGCCCAGTCTGTGTCATTTTATATAAATGAATTAATACAGTTTTTGTGACTGGATTTCATATAGCACATATTTTCCTGTTTCATTTAAGACATAGCATGGGCTAGTACTTTATTTCTTTCAATTTAGAGCTGTTTCAAATTTAAGACTATTTGAGAAATGGTATTAGTAATATTTTGTGTACGAGTTTTCACTTTTCTTTATTTACCAAGAGTAGAACTTCTGGGTGTTAGAGTAAATACCGTGTTTGCTGTGTTTCTCCAAAGAAAGTATCTAGATGGATTTTTTTAAAAAATTTTTATTACTAAATCACCGTGGGGTACAGTTACAGACTTACAAACTTTTGTGCTTGCATTTCAGTCATCAATGTTCGAGTACCCATCCCTCCACCAGTGCCCATTTTCCACCACCAATTTTTGCTTCTGGGTGATACCCAGTGGGACTTGAGAATCATTTCCAGTACTGCTCAGGGGGACCATTCGGTGCTGGAAGTCAATGGGTTTCCTGCAACAAAGCATGCGTTCCAGTCCTCTGAACTAAGAGACCTTAATTTTTTTTTTTTTTTAAATAGCAGCTACAAGCAGTGGTGCAGGGGTGGAGGAGGAGGGATGGGAGGCATGCAGTCCTACAATCAAGCATGTGCTCTATCAGTGGAATTATCTCCTTAGTCCCTGTTTAATCTTTTGAGAAACTGCTGGACTATTTTTTCAAGTGGCTAAATCATTTTTATTCCCACAAATAGTGTGAGATTCCAATCTCTCAATAGCCTTGCCAACAATTCTTAGTATTTTTCACTTTTTAGGTCATGCCAGTGAGTATAACGTACTACCTACCTCATTGTGGTTTTCTTTTTCCCTCTTTATTTTTTTTTGGGGGGGGGGGGAGCAGTAGGGGACTATGTCATCGACTATGTCATGGGGAGCTTGTCAGGCTCTGCCGCGGGGGCAAGATACTCTCAGTAGCTTGCCGGGCTCTCCGAGAGGAGCCGAGGAATCGAACTCGGGTCGGCCATCTTGGCCGCTTATAAGGCAAAGGCCCTACCGCTGTGCTATCGCTCAAGGGAAATTATTCTCAAGTTTTATGAAAGACAGTATTCTCCCCTTCAAATTAATGGACCCTCCCTAATCAATTCAGTTAAATACTAATTTCTAAAATCAAGTAAATAGATACCATAAACAAATGAATAGATCTTCAAAGAAATTCACAGCTTTGAATGTTTATACTAGAAAAAATATAAACAATAATTTTTAAGGTTCTACTAAAAGAAACTAGGAAATGCAATTTAAACATAAATTAGGAACAGAAATCCATAAAACTGAAATCAGAAAAGTAACCCAAAAAAAGCTCTGAAATCTAAAGCTATTTCCTTAAGATGAACTATCAGCAATAAAAAGTTGTAAGATTTACAAATATATACAGGAAGGGAATGTTGTAAGCAACTTGATAATATATTTGACAACTTGGATTAATTCAAGGGCTGGAGCGATAGCACAGCGGTAGGGCGTTTGCCTTACAAGCAGCAAACATTGGTCGACCCAAGTTCGATTCCTCCACCCCTCTCGGAGAGCCCGGCAAGCTACGAGAGTATCTCGCCCGCACGGCAGAGCCTGGCAAGCTCCCCGTGACGTATTCGATACGCCAAACACAGTAACAACAAGTCTCATGATGGAGACATTACTGGGCCCGCTTGAGCAAATCAATGAACAATGGGAGGACTGTGACTGTGACTGTGTGGATTAATTCAAAAAAGTACAAAAGGAAAAGATAGCCTGAAATAGTACTTTAAAGAAATTAAATTTGTAATTTCAAACTGAACAACACCAAAAACTATAAGCAAAAATCACTGATTAACTCCACCAAACTTAAAAAAAAATTATAAAACCAAATAGAGAGAAAAGAGTATCTCCCAACTTCATTATATTGCTCTGTCGTTCACCAATTATATTGAGGAGCAGGAAGAGATCAGTGGTAGAACCCTGCAGGAGGAGGGTGGGCCAAGTTCCCACACTACAAACGGCCCAGTGGCCACACTTGACACCCTGATAGATGTTGACATGACTCTGGCTAGACTGCCCAGTTAAGTATTCTGAATTTTCTGGCCATCTCTAAACTCTACAAAACTAATACCCAGTAGGAGCATACCAGATTGGAAGGGAATGTAACATACAAGCTAATTATCCTCCAACTAACACAAACATTAACATAGAAGGCTTAATTTGAAACAACAGCTTAATGAATCCTCAGATGAGGAGTTAATGTTCCCATGATGAAATACAACAATTTTCACAAATTTTCTTTTACTTAAGTATTTATTATTCCATTAGCCATTTAGTGATAATAAGCACTAAAAAGTAAAGTACTGTGGGCCTGCTATGGGGCCAGGCTTGAGAGTTATTTGGGAAAATAGAGAAAATGGTGGAGGGAAGGTGACAGTAGTGGTGGGACTGGGTGCTGAAATATCGAATGCCTTTAACAAATCATCATGAACAACTCTGTAAACCATGATGTTTAAATAAAGTGTGTGTGTAGGGGGGGAATGCGAAAATGCTATTGTTCATAATTTTTATAAAGTCTATTACAGTCATTTAAAAAAAAACAAAAGTTCTTATTTTTGGAGATTAAAACTCAATGACAAGTTCAGATAAAATTATATGGTATGCTTACAATTACAATATATTTTTTAAATTAGTATAGTGAGGGACCAAAGAAAGAGAAAGAGAAAGAGCAGGTAAGGCGATTATCTTGCACATGGCTGAAGAGGCCCTAAGCACTGCCAGGAGTGATCCTTGAGCAGAGTCAGGAGTAAATCCTGAGCACCACCACCGATATGGCACAAAATCCAAAATATAAATAAAACACTCCAGTGAGACAGAGAGAGAAATGTAATGATAACTGCTGAAGCAGGGTGGTATGTAAATAGGATTTCATTTTATTATTCTTGCAAATTGACATACATTTGAAAATTTCTACAACAGTCAAGTTTGGGGGAGGGAATTTAATAAAAAATAAAAGTTCATGACATAAAAATTGAAACATATTGTGTATTTAATGTCTACATAAGTCAGATAAGTGTAGAAATTAGGTAAGTGAGATAATGAGATAAATAAATTCTGGAGCCAAAAGCATTCATGTCAGATATCTCAAGAAACATGAGATCCAAACATATATTAGCAACTGCTTTAGGACCTTAAAACTCAAAATAGTTGTAAGTACAGTGTTAAATGTAGGAATTAAGTGAAAATGGCTGTTTCTTAAAAGTTCAGAAATTACCAAAATATATATACATATAACTATCATAGCTAAAACACAATAAAAATACTCTTATTATCTAGTCCTGGCATAGCCACTAGGAATATAAACAAATCTGCTTCTAATTTTAGAAACTGCCTTTACTTTTTAAAAATTATATACATAACTTTAAAAAAAACAAGAGCAAAAGACCTTTAATAATGTTAAAGCAGAAAACAGAGCTGAGACAATTAGGATAGTTATCCATTTTAACTATACAGGCTGCTAAAGAATATAAACCTAAAATTATGTTAGAAATAATGCAATCTGAGTTTTCTAAATATTTCAATAGCTTAAGAAGAAATATCTCAGAATAAAATCAGAAATAACTATACCCATGGTTTTCTTCATAATGTTGTAGAACACACCGCCTTGCTGGAACATGTGCGGAAGCCCTTTTGCGTAAGACCATACATCTTCTCCTGTTAGATAAAATTAGATATGTATTAGCAAGAAAAAAGTTTATTCCTTTTAAAATGACCAAAGACCACAGTGACAATACAGTGGGCAGGGTGCTTGCCTTGCACATGGCCAAACTGGGTTCGATCCCTGGCACCACATAAGGTCCCCTGAGTCCTGTCAGGAGTGATCCTTGACCACAGTGTGAGAAGTAAGCCCCTGAACACTACCAGATGTGGCACCAAAACAAACAAAAAAATCTAAAAGAACAAAATCGAATGATTTCAAGGCAGACCTTTTTTCACTTTGTTACAGATTAGCCTAAATGAGAGATTATAAAGCAGATCTCCCAAGTTAGTAAAGCAGCTTCATATAATATATGGGAAAATAAAATGGAGTAATGGAACTGTGTGGGGCATACTAGGAAATACACCATCACAAAGGTGACGGCCACAGTCAAATACTATTGTGCAAAAAAACTGTAGACTCAAAAACCACATGAATTTTGAGGAGAAAAGTCTCGTTCTTAATTCTAATTTTTAAATGTAGGAATTCATTTTACTATGTCTTAAATCTGCATAAGTCAATACTAGGCATATTAAACCAAACATATCTAAAGATACAATCCAGTTCAAAGGAAAAAACTAGTTTGCAACCTTAAACTAGAACAAACAAAGATTACGGAAAGATATTTTTAAAAACTTGAAAACTTATTCGATCATTGTATAATTGAAATCCAAGCACAAAAATCTGTAAGTCTACAACTGTACCTCGTGGTGTCTCACTAATAAAAATAAAATAATAAAAAAATAAACTAGAAAACTGTATGTTCTAAATTTATACATTCTAAAATTGTATGTTCTAAACAGGCTAGTATAAAAACTAGGTAGACTGAAGCTAAGTAACATATTCCGCTGTTCCAAAGTTAACTTTAAAATAGAAATTGGGAGTTGGGGATATTAAATGACTTCTTCTAGAAATTTCAAATAACCACAAATATTTAATTTTTTTTTCTTTTTGGGGTCACACCTGGTGATGCACAGGGGTTACTCCTGGCTCTACACTCAGGAACCACCCCTGGCGGTGCTCAGGGGACCATATGGGATGCTGGGAACCAAACCCGGGTCGGCCGCATGCAAGGTAAACGCCATACCCACTGTGCTATTGCTCTAGCCCTGCAAGAACATTTTTTAACATTGTGCATATTTCAATAATGTTTCAAATAAAAGAGGACTCACTGTTCAAAAAGTTAACAGAAAATGAAACATAATTCTATTTTCATTTGTGGAATGTGCAACAAAAAAACATTTCTCTTCTGATAATGTGTATTATAACTTTTATAATCAGGGGGACTTTTTAAAGTTAATTTTTAATAAAGAAAGGTTAACTTTACCTTTCCATTAGAAGATTATATACTTAGATGTAGAATTTAAATGAAAACTATTGATGAAATAAACCAATCACAGTGTGCGTCATCTCTGAAATCTTATCCCTTCCCACAATCATAAACAGGAGCAGCCAACAACTGCCATACAACATAAAATTTTAATTCAGGTGTCACTTCCTTTAGGCCAGTATTTCCAACCTTTTTACACCTGTGAACCAGAACCTGTTGGCATACCAGGCCACAGACTGGCAGCTATAAAAAAGGCCACAGACAAGTGTATTTTCATGCTTTCTACACAGGCAGTTGAAAAATCAGTTTTAGGACTCGTCAGAGTAGTGGTTAAGGGGACTTGAGTGACAGCACAGCAATAGGGTGCTTGCCTTGCATGTGGCTGACCCAGGTTTGATCCCCAACATCCCATAAGGTCCCCTGAGCACTTTCAGACATAATTTCTGAGTAGAGCCAGGAATAAGTCCTGACCAAGCTGGATGTGGCATGAAAAACAAACAAAAATAAACATAGTGGATAAGTTGGTAGCTTCCTTGGGCTCCTATGCATTTAAATACCATAGCCCTTACCTACAGGGCCATGGTATTCGTAAGAATTAAACTTAGTTTACTTTTCAGCTTCTCCCTCTCTTCAAATTCAGAAAAACATCAAAGGCCAATCTTTTTATTGGGATGGGGGGCTGTTGAATATAATAGCAATACTTGGCATTTACTGAGTGTAGAAGAATAAATAAGTGAGATTTCTTCCTTTTAAAAATGTTTGAGTCATCTAGAAAAAGTTTAATTGAAGCAACAAAATCCTGCCTCAATGCTTTATGACTATGAATACATAATGGTAGCACCCTTGTTCTCTTTATGAATATAACACAATATCACATAAAGAACAAAAGAAAAAAACTGTTTTTCTACCATTTTATTAGAAAGCAAACTCAAAGAATAGGAATAACGTGGGTAAAGATCTAGAAAAGATATTAATTCATATTTTTCTAATTCATTTTACTTTTATAGCTTTCTTTTCACAATACATGTCAAATACTTAAATTCAAATATTGTATGTACAAATAAAAAAGAACTATATGATAACCCTTTTCACACCTTGACATCCCTAAATTCTTTTTTCACTATTCAGTTCTACTTTTTTTTTTTTTTTTTGCTTTTTGGGTCATACCCGGTGATGCACAGGGGCTACTCCTGGCTCATGCCTCAGCAATTACTCCTGGCGGTGCTCAGGGGACCATATGGGATGCTGGGAATCAAACCTGGGTCAGTGGCGTGCAAGGCAAACGCCCTACCCGCTGTGCTATTGCTCCAGCCTCTGTTCAGTTCTACTTTAACAGTATATTATATATAGCAGTGGCATTGTGGGCCACTTTTCCTTGGTTTACCTAATATTTTTCCGCTTTAAAAATTTTTAAGGGATGTTAAAGTGAACCATTTAAAATATATTATTTTCTACTTTCTAATTATAATAAAATTCTGGGATTCTTAAAAATGAGTTTAGTAGTCAGAAAGATAGTTAAATGGAATGACCACATGCTTTGCCTGCTAGAAGTTATGATTCAATTCCCAGCACTGCATAGTACCCTAAGGACTGTATGGTGCTCCAAGCGCTGCTAGGATTGACCCACACATAGAGCCTAGAGAAGACTTTGAGCACTGCCAGCTGTAGTGCAAAAAGCCATTATTCCAACTTTCTAACTTCAATATTTAATTAAAGTCAAGTGAGGTTTCAACTTTGCAACTTATTAAGCAAGTAAAATTTAATATAGATATAAATTAAATATAGAATATAGACTGCTGGAGCGATAGCACAGCGGGTAGGGCGTTCGCCTTACAAGCGGCCAACATGGTCGACCCGAGTTCGATTCCTCCGCCCCTCTCGGAGAGCCCGGCAAGCTACCGAGAGTATTCGATATGCCAGACACAGTAACAACAAAGTCTCCAATGGAGACGTTACTGGGCCCACTCAAGCAAATCGACGATCAATGGGAGGGCCTTTACCTTACCTTTACCTTACCTTAGAATATAGAATATGATATGAATATATGAAATATATACATTTGAAACATAAACTTATCCTCCCAAATCCTAAATTAACTGTGAACTTACAAGTACCTATGACCAAAGAGTAAACTGACCAAAATGTTAAATTAAACTAGGAACATAGACCTGTTTCTATTAGAGAGAATCCTAATGATATTCATTATTTGAAGAATTGTTGCTATTTCTCCACCATTCCTGAAGATCCTCCCATCTAAAAAAGAATTTCTTCATTAAATCAAAACCATTTCTGAGGCAGGGTTGTCATATAAGCAATACAAGTCATTCTTATTATTGCTCAGCAGTAAAACACATGCCTTGCATGTATGAGAACTTGGGTTTGAGACTCAGCATTCCCACTCCCCACAAAAAAAGAAAAGGTATGCTTGTTTCCTTATATTCAGTGCCTTAACTTTGTCATTATTAGCATTAAAAAATATATTTAGCTACACATTCATGCATACAAGCCCAACTGTAGAAAGATGTATAACATATACAGTCTTAAAGAATACATCCCAATCTATTAAAAATAATTCCTTCTGGAAAGTACAAAGTTAAACTGATTTTTTTTTTTACACATATTAGATTCTTTTGAGTTGGAGGGGGTGGGGCTTGTGGGCTAATCCCTGTGGTACTCAGGGGCTAGTCTCACTGACTCTGTGCTCAGGACTGATCCCTGGCTATTCTTGGGAACCATAGATGATGCTGAGTATAAATCTGGGGTTAGCCACATTATAGGACAAGTACCCTACCTCCTGCATTTCTCTGGTCCCTATGTCTTTTAATTTTTAAAAAGTATAATCTTGAAAAAATGTGAAGGAAAACAAAAGATAAGCACAAAAAGTCAATGTTTAATTTCAGAAGAGTACAAAAATCGCCACTTAAAGGTTATCCATTTACACCAAGATATATCTATGTGCACTAATTTTTTTAAGGATTTTTGTCCTATTCCCTGCACCAATATCCCCAGATATATACATTGATTTTTTAAGGTGTTTTTTTTTTTTGAGGGGGGAGGGGATACCAAGCACTCACAACTTGTGACTCTGTGCTCAGGTATTACTCCAGGCAGACTCAGGTTACCATATGGTGTTCCGGTGTGTGCTATATATAGCAAGGCAAGTACCTTATCACTGTACTATTGGTCCAGCGTCTTAAGATTTTTGTGAGTGATGTCGGGGGTGGGGGTGGAGAGATAACAAAGGTACTGGTGTCACTCAGGGGCTGGAGATGTAAAAAATATTTGATCCCCCAAGCACCTCCAAGAATGATTCCTGAGCACAGAGCCAAGAGTAATCACTGAGCACTGCCAGGTGTGGTCAAAGCCAAGCCACATCCCACCCCACTCCCCCAAGAAAATTAAAGAATTTCCAAACAGACAAATTCTGTTTTGCACAAATCTGTGTTTATCTCTTGACAAGGAAAATCAATAGAAAACTCAAGAACACCATAGGAATAGAGAGGAAATTAAGTCTAGAACATATATACCATTTGTCATACTTAACACACACACACACACGACAGCAAAGAAAGAAAGAAAGAAAGAAAGAGAGAGAGAGAGAGAGAGAGAGAGAGAGAGAGAGAGAGA